AGGATTGGACAGCAGCCTTAGATAAAGGCCTGCCTGTCGATGTGATATTCATAGATTTTAGCAAAGCATTTGACAAGGTTTCACACGTAGGTCTTATGTAGAAGCTCACGAGCTTCAGAATAATAGGTACTGTACAGGAGTGGATAGGTAACTTCTTATGTGACCGCAGACAGAGAGTGGGGGTCAACGGAACGCTATCCGATTGGAAGCCGGTCAAAAGTGGTGTACCCCAAGGCACCATCTTAGGCCCTCTGTTCTTCCTTCTCTACGTCAACGAGTTAATGCTGTTGCTTAGGTCGTCGACATTATTGTTTGCGGATGACGTAAAAATCTGGAGAACAATAAAAAGTGCGGCTGTTCATGTGGATCTTCAAGCTGACTTAGACGATTTAGTTAGATTGACTCGAGAGTGGGGCTTAGAAATCAATGCTAGAAAGAGTGTACTAATGCACATCGGTCACGGTAATAGTTACCGTTACACTAATGAGGGTAAACCTCTTCCATGCGTTCAAGAACATAAAGACTTAAGAGTAGTTTTAAGTCATGATTTAAAAACAACCACGCATTGCAAAGCAGCCGCTGTCAAAGGTTTTCGTGCGTTATGGTCACTTCGCCGAGCGTTCAAATCTTTTGACGAGGAAACGTTTCGAATTTTATGTCCCATAATATGTTGGACTACATTTAGAGTACTGTATCCAAGCAGCTAGCCCGTGTCTGGTAAAGGATACGAACTACCTTGAGCGTGTCCAGTGTGTGGGAACGAAATTAGTGAAAGGTCTTTCTAAACTCCCTTACGATGAGCGTTTAAAACGCTTAAATCTTCTCTCCTTGTCGTATCGTAGGACACGAGGTGACCTCATACTGACATTTCGTATCTTTAATTATGATTTGCGTGTTAATATGTCCTATCTTTTTGCTCCCTCCAGCAATAATAATCTCCGAGGTCATAGCAAGAAGGTTCATAAACCGCGATCTAATAAACTTAAAGTGGGGTCTTGTTTCTCTCATCGAGTAGTCAATCATTGGAACGCCTTACCCCAACAAGTGATATCAGCCCCATCAGTGAATACTTTCAAGGAAAAGCTGGACCTTCACTGGAAAGCAATGTGTCAGGATTAATACAGGTTCACCAACCTACTATCCTTACTACTGAAGACTGAAGACTGTTGAGGTTTTGTAGCTTAAGTGGCTGGTTCAGATGTATTTCTTTAAGCTGAGTGTTTTTGTGTCGGAGCTTTCATTGTTCTTCGAAACAAAATAATTAGCATAAGCTTCGGGCAGAACGTAAGTACATGAGTTTCTCTACATATAACTCACAGCTTACTCTATCGACCTCAATCTCAATCCGTTATTGTTGACCTTCGTCCCATCACTGTCTGGTTCTTTGTTTTGATTGTATCTCACATCGACTTCATTTTGATCCTATATCTGTACATGATTTGTGCGGTTGGTTGATCGATTGGATCTATTTCAATATGCTTGTTGATTGCTGATTGATCTGAGTGCCAAACTTCTTAAAATCCTCTTGAGATTTTGAAATTCACTCCATCCACGATATAAGCATTTTTTAGTGTAATATCTGTCCACAGTTTCCCGTATGCATTGATATAATCGAGGATATGTCACGGCGTTTGACCAGTAATTGATGCTCGCCTAGGCAATGGTGAAGTGGGAGTCCACTTTGTTTGATGTAGTGTCTTCATTTTTGAAAAAATTTACTTTGTAAATGATGTTCTGTTATTTATTATGCATCGTGTTGATATTTTGATATATTTGTCATCAACGAAGTGTAACAGCTCCTCTCTCAAATCTTATCTGTTCTATTTAGCTTGCATTCAATGAGTTTCACTTATTCTGAACATCACTAGGTTATATATTCTCATTTCCGTAGCTATTTAACTGGTCCTCCCAGTCTCCTACTTTGCGCAAACATTACATGTACATGTGTTAATTGTTGCTTTGTTTGTTAGAAACGATATCGGCCTCGTGATTTCCAAATAACGTTGACTTTCACTTCATCATAAGGCGTCATGTTTCTTTTTGTGAATAATCCTCAATTCTTAATGCAGCGTTTAAATGAGTTTTCGTAGTTCTCATTTTTCTCCAAGATAAGACTGCTAGCACTTTGCACGACACATCTGATTTGTTCGGGTTTGGGACCAGTAATATGTCTAGTCTTTTAAACGAATTTGACCGTGCGACGTCAAGCTTATAATAAACTCCTTTTTATTGGAAGTTTAACCATTGAAGCTCAGTAATCTGATCCTTGTAGGCTACACTATCGTTCGTATTTATCACTTTGATCAACATCACTGGGAAAAACTGCAGTTTAAGTCGTAACAAATCATTTAACTGTGGTTGAAACAACGTTTTTTAGGCTGGAAGCGGTTTGTGTTTCAGTAACAAAATCCCATCAATTAAGTTTAGTTTCACGATGAATTCCCAGGCCTCATAGGATCCGTCTACAACAGAAATAGCAAAGCTCAACGCAATTTTGTCGAGTTTGACAACAGGACCTCGCCTTTAACAGTTTTTTCAACCTAAGTCTGTTCAATATGACGTACTTTTAGTTCAAGGGAGGCCTTGACTTTCCTGGAGTCACTTTTATTATCTTATATCCTTAAAGTGGTTGAGAAATGAACTTAGTTGCAGCCCAAATTCCTGGACGATATAAGTTGTCAAAATTATGGAAGAAATTCCGACTACCTTGTCTCAGTTTGCCTTTTGATCAGTCGTGCAGTAAAGATTTCCTACCTTTTCTACTAGGTTTATCTGGAGTTTCCGATCTTATATTGATAACTTGTGACGGATATCTCTACATTCTCTTCGAATTTGGCACAATTCAATGGGGCGGTTCCGTTGGAAGTGACTCACAGAGGAGGCCCGCATTAATTAATTCTAAACAGTGAATAAATTGTCATGCCTAATCTTTGCAACTGGTTCATTAATCCTTGGGCTTTGAAAAATCCGTTTCACTAAAACATTTGGATGTTTCACCTTGTTCTCAGGACAGCAGACCTTATTACTGGAGAATGTGATGAATTTGTCAATTATGATCCATCCAAAGTTATTAATTGCCTAAAATTGTGTTTACGATCCACCTTATTCAGATTACTTGGAGACCTCTACAGAAAGAAATAAGGTGTGGCAATGGGTTTGGAGATGGCACAGGTATTCAGTGTTTGACAACGCTTTCACCAGTAACGCCTTCTAATATAACTCGTACCCACCAAGAGAGATCAAAAGACAGAATCGAGGAGATCGGAAGACTGTATTTGGCGAAAACCAATATATCGGAATTGTCTGATCCAATCTGGCTAGCGATTGCGGTAGATGCTGAGCACAGCGTTCCCACACGTGATCTGGTGCGGATGCATGACTGAGCACCTTTAGCTAGGTGAGTCCATTAAAACATATGGTCAGCATCCAATGTCGAAAACCTACAGAGCTATTTATTTTGGGAATTTATTTACCGCTACAGCTTTATAGAATTCTGGTCTACTTCGTTATTAGCACGACTATAATAATAGACCTTATCCTAGAACTGTCGATGTCATGATGTTAAAACTTAATTTATAAGATATTACTTGGAAGTTATATCATTTTCCACACTGACTTTTCGTACGTATTAATCCGCCATATAACGTTGGGCGTTTGTAACTAACACATTTAAGCTCAATATAGAAATATATATTCAAAGTGAGTAAAGACAAGTTATATAGAGTGATCACGTCTGCAAGACTGACCCATGCCACTCGATTGAACTCAATTGAATATTCCTGCATTCATTATTTTTGGCTTCCTCTCCGTGTTAAGTATTGGATATCTATCTTTCCAGTTATTCCATGTCTAGCTTTGAGGATTGTTTGGTTATGACAAATACCACTACTTGTGCACTAGTTTCTACCTAGAAACCAGTGCGGTCATAAGATGTATATCCATGGACTTCTCGTTACGACATGTAGATGACATTTTTATCAACATCGAACGGGATGGTTTAGAAGAATTGTTTAAAAATGTAAACATCATTTGGAAGAGCATTAAGCTAACAAAGGAGATAGAATCCAGTAACCAACAATCAGCGGTTTTCGATTGTTCGGTTGAACGAAGACATTATTAAGTTGAAAATAAATGCATTCAGGAAATCGACACATTCTGAGAGATACTTAGATTGTGATTCGGCCGATGTGTTTTGTATGAAAGTGGCAGTTGCGAAAAATTTAATTAACAAATGTATTAATCTCATTACAGACATGGAAGGCTAACGAGTTGAATCAAATCTGAGTTTTGTCCACTCATAGGAATATGAATAACCCCAAATAGGTTTTAAAGATGGTTACTAAAAATGGAAGAAAAACTGAACTAGAATGTATACCGAAAGATTGGAAGTCCACCTTGAAAATCACTTACCGTAGTGAAACACCGAAAGACACCACGAGGATTCTAAACAAACATGATATAAAAGCGTATGTTAGGGCTTCTGAAACCATAAAATCAGCATTGGTGAAAGTTAAGGATAGGTTCCCAATGAAAGAATAACAGAATGTTGTCAATGAGATCATTTGTCATCATTGTAATGCAGTCTTTCTTGGATAAACTTCTAGACAGTTGAATGTTAGTTTGGAGGAACATAAACAATGTCTAAAAAATATTTCAAATCCTATGTTGACCTACATAAAGTTCGGAATAAGCCGGCGATGGCGTTACACGCGTTGGAAACAGGATACAAAACCAATTTTGAACGGACGAAACTATTTCAGAAAGGTTTTAACACTCGCAAACGTAGATTGATAGCAGAAGTGCTATATATATGGGCGAATGAGAATAGCTTGAACAGAAAAGATGGTATTCAACTACATGGCAAGTATTCGGTAACAAGCAATTGGACCCTTTCTTTATCCAACCTGTTTATTTTACATGTATCCTTATTCTGACTGAAATTAATATGAGTTATTTTGACAATATAATTATGTATATGATAACTTGTTTTATATTTGCACCAATGATTCAGGAATAGTTTTTCAACCTATAGCATGCAATTTTATTTTATTTTTACTTCATATAAAAACATATCAACACCTAATATCACCTATTAGTAACTCAATCTTACACATACATACACAATTTATTCAGTTATTTGTTTTCATATTGTGAACTTTTCGAATGACTTCCACATGACCGATTCGTGTTAACGCGTTTGCTAAAGTCAGCATCTAAATATGGTTGAATTAGCACAGTACAGATTTGATTTGGTTTGACTTCCATGAATCAGTGGAGATACTTTGGATTGGACGAAAATCATGATAATTGGGCACCACGAGGCATTCGTAAATAAACGTACTTGGGAAGCTGAACCGAGAGTCCATTACACTCATCGAACTGAGACCTTTTGAAACTACTGAGGCTTTACTGGGAAGATCGGCTGGTTGGTATAAAACCCAAAAGATCCTATATAGTCAACATACATAGAAAAAATATGATGTTGATCACATTATGTTATACCAGTTGAGTTGGATAAAGTTGACTGAAGCAACAAGATGACCTAGAAGACATGTTATTTATGCAACTATTGTGTTCTCTCGTCACCAATGCAGGTCTTAAGAAGTAGTCTGACCATAAGTTCACGGAACAGACCTAAGGAAACCCAATGCATGTTTGAATGCAAAAAAAACATCGTGAGGGAATGCTAAAACTCTCTCCCACACCCCTTGAAGGATTGCCTTTTGTAAGCGGAAGGTTGATCTTCCCAGATTAAAAATTCTGCTTCAGGCATCCAGAGATTTTACGTAGTCGTCGCTTCTTAACAGGGCTGACAATTAAAAACTTTCTCAAGCTGAAAGGCCACAACAAAACTTCGTAAGTATTACCCTCGATACGCTAGATCTATCAGAACATTGCTGACCATACCAATGCTGTTAGACACGTGATGGAACCAATTCTAGAGTGACGAGTACAACAAAGTTGGTCATATTTCTTCTCCGTGTTGATTGGCTATTTTAGGCCGATGATGGTCCGCCAGGAAGGATGTGCGAAACGAATATAAAGATGGAAATTAGTGAGTCTTCAAACCGGTACTGTTCACCTACAAATTGCTTTCACTTTGAATACTATTGCTTTCGTAATTGCTTAAAAATGTTTTTAGGAAGGAGAGTGATGTCTATGAAAGTTTACATCGTCAACGGATCCGACTTCATTTCGATGATTTGCTCGAGACTCTGCATTTACTCTGGCCCTATCAGTGCAAAGTGAATTAGACTAATGTATAGCTCCCTGAACATCTTCATCAAAGTTGAATATGTTCAATCTTGGATTGAAGAATAACAATTGTAATATTATTTTAATGTCAAAATCTCTTTCCTACTATTCAGACGCAGATTCTGTAAATGGGTTATTAATACTAAATAGCCAGGGCTTGAAGGTTGCGAAGATTTCATTAGAACATGTGTTTCGATTCGAGTTCAGCCAAAAAGTACTTTGTGCACTAGAGAAGCATGGGAAGTAATGCGAGTTGTATGAAATTAAAAAGAGAAGAACAATACAATAGGTGAACTGAAGATACCGCAAGCGCACAAAATAAACTTACGTTTAGTAAGGAAAGCAATAGATGAAAATTAATAATAACACATGCCTCACGTTAAGACAAATTGGAAACCGAAAACAGAAACTGATAGTGTGGAGACTGTAACTCGGTACAGTGGGTGAGTGTCAAATTGTGGGTGACCAAATAACCACAAAAAGAGTGGCAAACTGACTGAACAGTGTAGAGTGACGTAGTGATGTAGATCACCAACGTAGATAATCTGTGTCGGACGATTGGGAATATACTCAAGTTAGACTGGAATGGTGTGACGAGCCAGCCAATGCAGAAGCCACACCTCACGGTTATCACCTAATATGGATTAACTTTTCGTCCTATAGAGGTACTATATCTGCTTTGATGACCATAAAACGCGAACGACGTTATTATAAAAAAATATCACCAAGAGTAGGTACAAGAAGCGGAACGCGAACTATGCTGCACGAGCCTGTCCATGGCATGCGACTAATTTGTGCGCGTTGGTTGCCCTTGACCATGGAGAGAACCAGCGAACTGCTCGTCATTCAGTGACGGGAATGCCGGATAAAATGGCTAGGGCTCAGTGACATTTCACTGGTCCAACTATAATATGCTAAACTATTGAGATTCACAAAACTTTGGGCTCTACTTCCTAATTTTTGGTCCCACTTGTTCAGTTTGCTTACTTTATCTAAAAATTTTATGTGTACTAATTCATTTATATCATATTTAAAGTAATACATTGAATTTAGTCTGGTTATGATGAGGCAATTATGATCTGTACACATAGATAACGGTCATCGTAATGATCCGTTAGAGTAGCAGTTAGTGGTATGACCGCTAATTTTGTGAACGCAGTGTATTTTTAAGCGACAGTGAATGTATCACGAGCCAAAAGATAGTAGGAACAGAGAAGTCAAGGTCAAGCATTAACAACAATTTTGTGATCAATAACAAAGATTGTATAAATCAAGTGAAATAATGATAAATGTAATATATAGTAACAACTATACACAAAAATAGGTGTATGTTAACCAACTACAGATACAGTGAGGCGCTTATCAACACTATGCGTTACTTGAGGTTTTTGTATTAGAAGCTTTTCTAATTTATCATCTTGTTCCTAATTTATCTGAAAACACAGGCTTCGACATTCAGATAGTTCGTTTTCACTTGTTTAATAGTATCTGTTTTACTGTTGCGCCTATGATTATTCGACCTTGTCGATAGATATCTTCAGATTACTTTTTTCGCTATTGTTGAATCGATAAAGATTAAAACCAGTATTTGTTTGTTGATAACTGCTGTCTTTATAGATTTTGTGTCTGAAACGTTCATGGTTCGTTGGTTGTTCTCTTGTAGAGACCCATTGGACTTCGGTGAATTCATCGCAATCAGGAATTAAAACCAACCAAATTAAGTTGACCAAGTTTCCATTTTTTGAAGTTTTAGCGATCAAACTTTATACATAACGTGATTTTCGTACAATGTTTAGATGTCAACTATATGGTCACTGCCATTATGAGCCATTGATGTGAATGGGATTCATCTTGGTGTTTTGTATGTATATTAGTCTTATTTCAGAAACTATGTAAGAATTGTAGTGACCACCACAACAGAATAATGTGTCATGGTTTTCACTTTTTAATTATCGCTACTGTAAAGCTGACATGAAAGTGAGAAAAAATAGTTGGGGAAACCTTTTCGTTCATGTATTTATCATTACTTTCCAAGAAGTAATTAGTTAATTATTTTCCATTTACTCTCTAGTTCCGTTTCCAGACCTATAATCTGTACTGCCAAATTAATTCTTATCTCCAAAGACTTTCATTCTCTTCATGACTGCCAAACAAACGATCCTGTTAAAGGTTTATTTAAAGATTAAATACCTTTTGAAAAGGTAAATTTCTATCTGACTGGATCCCGTTGGTACATCTCAGCTCATCCTAATTCTATAATTGGATCTTCTGATAGATTAATCACTAAGAAGTCGGATGACAAAAGCGTTACCTTCGAAAAGTGTCTATGACTAAGTACAACAGGTTTGGCTCGCAGAATTTTGATAGATTGACTCCAGAGGTAATTAAAAATGGAGGTCTAATACTGACCTGAGTCCTAGGAGTTGGACGTAGTCTCATCTAACTGACCTCGATCTCTGATGTGGTTTAAGTCTGACTGTTTCAAACTTTCAAAATATTTGAAATCTTTATCATGTTATTAATTCGGATTCTCGTATTCATAAGATTCATTACCTTTATAGGGAAACTAAAGGTTTCATGGAACAAACTTCAATAAAGAGTTTCCTATGTATTGTGATTTTAGGGAGAGCCGTCATTTCTGAACACGTGGTAGATGAAACGACCAATTAGTGATAATCACATAGTTTTCGACAATAACCTAATTGTTGACACAACTGCTCCTACAACCTCGAGAAGCTCGGAAAGCGCCAAGGATTGCAGAAAACGAAAAGCCCTTCGCATCCAATATCTAGCTGAAAGTGTACGATTGCGTGAGCTCACTGTTATAAAAATGAAACGTGATATTGACAAAGTAAGCTGTTTGCCAAATTTTGCAATATAATTAACTTAATTCAGTTACTCGAGTTGTGCCAGTACATAGATCAAGGAGATGTACCAGTGTCACTTTTGGAAAAGTGTGGGATATCAGTATAAAATGCCAAATATCTATTAATGTTGCATGCATATAATCTACGAGAATCTTTTAGTTTACATTATTTCGACATTCCTGTTATTCGCCATCTATTTCATTTTGATATACTTTAACGCATATTTTCTGACTATTTATACTTATCTTTCTTCCATCTGTTAGGGATCTTTGTGCTCTGAATTAACTTTGGGTAGGACGTCTAACTATTTTTAGTTAATTCTTCATTTCTTAGTGATAATAGTAATAATAAACTGATGATTATGCATCATATGAATGAATGTAATATTCCTGATCTACAGTTTCACTTAATTTTTGGTCATTTTTATTGAGAATTCTAATTTGTTTATGTTATGAGTCGATATAAATCATTGGTTAAAACTTTATACTTAGTGATATATTACGATTATGTGCACACTAGTTATTGTTGTATGATATTTTGAATACCTGTTATCACTTTCACTACAATGTAAATCAACATAAATCTACCTTATTTAGATCCAAGTTTATTCGTGAAGGATAATCTTAAAATACCTCAAACAAATGCAGTATTCCGAATACTTGATGATTATCAACTGGAGAGGACATTACAAAAACTGATAATTGTCTCTTAGTTCCCTATTATTAAGTTTTGTCGTGAATAAATAAGTGATATACAGCGGTTCTCTGAGCGCTACTTTATAAGCGTGAAAGCTGTTAACTATAAGTAACGTAAATATATAACTAATAATATTCAGCCAAATATTTCTTCTGTTCATTTGACGTGCTACCCAAAGCTGCCTAATTAACAATACTAACGTTAAAGATAAAGTGTAGGTTCGATCAAAAAGATAAGAGTATGATAAATACTAAAGTGATTTAACAAATGAATATGCTTTAATAATTAAGGAAGGGTTATGGATTCACTCACGCCAATGACACTTCTGACTTTATGCTAACTCATACTCTATTTAGCATGTTTGATAATCCACGCTTAATTCACTCTTTCCTAATTCGCTAACTAATACACCAGAAAAAAACTAGCCAAATAAGCACGGGACTATAAAGTAGGCGTTCATGTTTTTAGTGAACATAATGTAATAAGTAGATGTCGCAGTGTGTACAATATCTTACAAAATTAAATTATTACTTAGACACATAAACATTGGTAAAAGGTGAGACCAAAGTGTCGACGTGCCACACAAAAATGAGATTCTAAAGAGGTCGAGAAAAGAAATTGAGTATAATAAAAAAGAACAACAACGGACATAAATCAGTGTGTGTGTGTGGGGGGGCCGAAATAACAATAAAAGGAGAGGTAGTTCGCCCCCAAATGCCCTGGTACGGCCGAGAGTGGGGTGGGCCCGCCCTCCCTCTCAAAATGCTCTCACATGGCCACGCGTATATAGCCTCTGCCAAGAATGTCCTACTCACTGCCTTCTCGTGGTACTACTGTTGTTTACTAAAATGAGAGGACGAAAAGCGAATGTCCGGCACTTTAACCGGATTCCAAACCAATGGTGTACATGAGCTCCAGTATCCTGCGGGAACAAATGGCGTATGAACCAATCGTTGGTCACCGGCAACCATGGGACTGCATCTCCTCACGATGCTCCACTGCCTTTTGGATCAGACCTTCAGGTCGAAGGCTTGGGGTGTGGTCCCCTAAGAAAACCACCTGCTTTGGTTTAGGTACCCGAGCAGTATCATAGCCCTCACACATATCGAATGAGATTTGTGTGGCGCATATGTATTTGGTGCCTCATTGTACCAATATTAATGTGTTAAAATAAATAAAGACGCTTAAACCAATATCAGTAGTCCGATTCATGGAAACTGAAGCTTGGTATGAAATATTACAAACTGTATGGTAAAGAATTTAATAAACAAAATAATGAAGAGTATAAATGATACTATAGAATCATTATGTTGAACTTGGCTAATTTATTGATTTTTACCGGCTCATTATTAGTTCATATTATGGCATAAAATATCGATCATATGACAGGATAATATGCAAAACTGGCAATATGACACATATTTTTATGATTTCTGGCTAATTTCATATAACCATGATCACCGAATTCTTCACCCAAACTAAATTTAACTAACCAATATGGTATGCCGTTCTCTATACCATAACCTACAAGTAAAACGGATTCGAATGGTTCTTCATTTTGACAGTCGTCTATTAATAAAACTCCACTCCTATAAAATAAAATAATAAAAGTAAAGAGATAAGTTTATTTTAAACAATAATAACCACAACAATGAGAATTTTTTTGATTAAACTTGAAAGTAAATTGACAATTTTTTTAGATCTAATCGTTATTCTGCAGCAATTTGGAAGACTCTTCCGGTCTCCCACATTGTACGACAATTCCAGATACCTAAATAAATGGTTGCTCTGGTTGTTAGAAGGGGCATCGTCGTCGTGACTTCCGAAGGAACTCGGCTTTCATCATGAGGAGTTATAACTCTTTTAAATGAAGACCTGACTCCCAGGGCAGAGTTTAAAAGCTTTGAATAATTTTTTCTGGTTAGCGTTTTTTCAGCGAGTTTGTTTTCTACAGGATGAGGTCGCTAACCTTATGCCCAACCTTCCTCCTTTATCCAGGATTTGGAACGGCAGTAGCCCCTGGAGGGACTCCAGGCGGAGTTCTAATCGATATTAACATGGATTAATGTCTTTTAGGCTTCGGAAATTTAAACTTCACTTTATCTACTTCAGTTTGAGTTATCATATAGTAACATTAGTCTTCATCTAAACAGTTTAACTCAGAGCTGACCACGTAAATTGATACCTGAATATTGAGCTACATAGCATTATGATGGGTAGGGGTTAATCTTGAAACCATACATTAATTCAGTATGTTAATTCACTCAGTACACTTTAGCATGGAATCTGTTTGTAACATGTAGATTAACATTTTTTTTCGTATCATTTCATCATGACTTTTGTTAACGAATTGGAAATATGAGTAAATCCTTATGTAGAAGAAGGTGTTTTTTAATTAATAAATGAATAAACTTTTCAAGTTTAGATCATGAAGTAAATCATTTGTCATCAGTTTAGTGTTGCTTCCTTGTGTCGTACGATACCATTTTCTATGTTCAGACAGTCAGTCAGCTACAACGTAGGACTAGACACGTATATACATCGGTTCAAGTTGCTACACATCATTAGCACAAAAAGATGAACACCAAATACATAGAAGTAGTTAATTCGATGGAGGTAATATATAAAAGAAAGATTGCAATAAGGATATAGTACACGAAGAAAGAATTAGTTCGTAGAAAGAAAGATATGAAGTGATTTTAATCTCATAGTTTAAAGGAAAACAAAGACTGTAGGCACCTACGCCATTGTAATGGATTCTGAGCCATGTCACACAGAGTTTCCAACCATTGGTTATGATAGTCATACGGACCACAATCAAGTATTCTGAATCTACCAACATGGCTCAGACTAGAAGTTAGTAATTTTAAGGACTGATGCCAAGTTTTAGTTTGGCAGCCCTTAAATTCCTTCCAACCGTCTCCAACACTAGTCCGTATTGTACGTCGTGGTAATCGGTGTTTATGCATACATAAGAACAGGTGACGCAACCATCTCATTCGATGGAGATTCACAACATCATCAATTGATTTACCATCATTCTATTTTCAGTCATAATATATTGATGTGATAACAGTTTTGGTGATCAGTGGAAATTATCGAGTATTAAACATTCATTGATTAGCGTTTTTTCAGCGAGTTTGTTTTCTATGGGATGTGATCGCTAACCTTATGCCCAACCTTCCTCCTTTATCCGGGATTTAGAACGGCAGTAGCCCTCGGAAGGACTCCAGGAAGAGTTATTAAAGATTCATTATTTTTACACTAAATATTTTATCCGTATAATTGCTCAATATTCATTCAATTGGAATCCAATCTACAATATTTAAGTATTCCAAAATATGTATAGATCACTGGGTTTAGAAGATAGTTTGAATACTTTTCAATTAAAATTGTTTAAAAGTATTGAATGTATTGAGAAAAAAGTTAAATACTAACTAATCATCTTTAGAGAGATTGAATATAGAATCTCAGTTACTTATGGAATAACTTTGAAAGTGAGCATGCAATGGCTTGTATAAACTAACAAAGTGAATATTTTATGACTTTCATTATCTCACATTTCAAGATGAAGTCATCATATATGATTTCAAATTGGGATTAACTTGGTAACTATCGAGATATAAAAGCAACTCTTTCACGGAGATACTTGATTCGCAGTATAGACGATTAATGATCTGAAATTCTGCTATTCAAATTGATATATGATCCACACAAACAGGTAAAAAAAAGCATTTCATCAAAGAAAGCTAAGAAACGAAACAGAATTGATTGGGATTCTACGAAATGAGTGACTAGTAGTTGATGGTAGAACATATAAAGTCGGGACGTTTATTAATAAAATGGCCCAAAAATAATGATTGCGCTGATTGTTACCAAAGAAGTTAGGATTAGGGATGGAGAATACTTCACGAAGTAGCTCAGCAAGTCCATAGTCACTCCTGACTTGTAAACAGTTGCACTATCAATAGAATATTTATATGAACCCTCTTAATTTTTCTGAGGTTTGGTTTTAAAATTATTTAAGGACAGTTGTTAGAAATTAATAATTAAGCTAATAAAGGTAGTAATTTGGATACAAGCAATTAACAAACTCCTCCTAAATTGGTTTCGGTGGATGATCGTACATGTTCAAATAAACAATCAGATATTCTGTAACAGCCACAAAAGTATTTTATTGACTAAAATATTTAATAATTTGAAACTTTTCAAATAGACAACCACTATCACAATTGATTGATCACTGTGTGATGATCAATGTCATGCTTGTTTAGTCCTTATTAGTGCAGATCGGATGCTATCGATCATGTTGCAATGTGGCCACCAGTCTAGGTGACTCGACACTTCGGGCGCTATGTATTGAGATTTAGATGGTGGTTGGAGGTAGTCAACAGGAAACCCTGGACCCGGGTTTCGTGCTACTTGGCACTCGTCAGCAAGGTGTACCTGTAGTCTTGAGGGAACTGATGCTCCCTGGCGGATTCGATCTCGTGTCACCCAGCTTCACAGTCAGAGACGTTACCACTGAGCTATCCGAGATCGAATCCGCCAGGGAGCACCAGTTCCCTCAAGATTACAGGTACACCTTGCTGACGAGTGCCAAGTAGCACGAAACCCGGGTCCAGAGTTTCCTGTTGACTACCTCCAACCATCATCTAAATCTCAAGACAACCACTATAGCAAACGTGGGAGCACTGGACAGCTGCTTCGTCCTGATATGAGACTCCTCAACAGTGCGCATCCACGATCCCACTGGATTGATCATTAGTTGGAAACTGATAAAACAACAGGCGTATACATCAAAATCCATTCATGGAAGATAAAGTACAAAAGCTCTACAATCTGTATTTAACACATATACTATGTAACGAACAGGTTTTTAGTGTTCATTTAATGGAAAAATCATATTGTTGAACGCATTATCAATTTACATTTCTTAAAAGTATTTCATTTCATTCTGCATAATTTACCTACTTCATATATATATAAGATATAAGAAGTGTATGAAAAATCTTTTGAAATATTGTTTACTGAAGATTCCATATGGGACCAATTATCTAATATTAAATGAAGCCTTTATTATCACTACATCACTCGATATCTGTTATAATAAAGCGGATAAAGTGAAAAATCTATCTCCTTAATCTATTTCCTTTTCTTGGTTAGTATCTTCCTAAACTAATTTGATTTTTTAATGCCTTGATTGACCTCATTTTTTCTGTCTTGAGTGCTGTTAGAGGTATGGGGGTAGTCATCATTTCCTGGTTGCCCACACTGTAGAAGGGTTCTTCTGGAGGTACCTGAAAAGGAAGTTGGATTAGAGGTGGTCTTAGTGACCTGAGAGAGTGACTGCAGTACCCAAGGGACAACTTCTTGAGGCTGGTCATACATGACATTTGTGTTAGCTCCGCTTCGTACTTGTTGAGACCTTACCGCCGGAGACGGAAATCTATGGGATAAGGCAAGGTGTGCACTTGTAGGGTCGACCTTTTCTAACCCCACTCCTCCTTGTGCGAAGGCAGTATCGCTGTCATACTGGTTGTCTGAAGGAAATACCTTACTGCTGTCACACCTCTGTACAGTCAGCAGTACGACTTCGCCTTCGGACCTTGGGTTTGTTGCTCTTAGTCTTATCGCTCTTCAACCGACCTGTCTGACATGGTAGGACTTTGAGGATTGGTAGTTCCAGCCAGTATAACTCGGTTGCTTTAACGTGACAGGCAAGCCCGACCACCACGTCAAGGTAGCAACAACGCTCGGGTATATTTTGTGTGAATTTGTAAGTACTTGTACTATGAACTTATGGAATATTTTTAAAAAATAAGTTTCTACGTTGTTAGTACTATAATGATTGCTTAGATAGGATGTAACATTTCGTGCATGAAAAATAAATCACCATCCAATGCTTCCAGATTTTCCATGGTGATCTAGCTTCAATCGACTTACGATCTCAACTATTAATATAATTATTTTCAATTTATTTACCCGTAAGTGAGAAATTCCTGAGTCATAGTAATTCTTACTGCTATAGGTCCAATATTATACACAGCTTTTTGAAGTTCCTCCTCATTATCTTCGACTTGTATATAAGAGGATAAAGTTGTCACACTCTTTGATGAACTATATGTACAATTTCCAACCTAAAATGATTTTAGAAAGACATTGGAAAATCTTTAGATTAAGATGTTATATAATAAATCATATAGTGAAAGAATACTTTAAAGAACATGTCTGATATTCTGTTAATCTTGTGAATCTATGATGACAATTACTTACTTACGCCTGTTACTCCCAATGGAGCATAGGCCGCCGACGACAATGACTGGTGTATAAAGTATTTGTTTGGGAAGTACAATATAAGTTCAGGATTTACTTTCAGTTAAAAAATAATTACGTATCCCAGTGTATGTCATACTATGATATATGTGTTGCTAAATGATGTTTGAACAGAGCCAAAACAACAAATGAGGCAGACTTTATTATATTTTAAAAAGAGAACTAATTCTATGAAATTCCTAAATGATAACCTCGTGAATAGCACTTGATGAGATAAACGTGAAGTGCTGTTCAGGAACTAGGACAATACAATCTACAGACGTTTCATTAAATTTTCAACAGGCACATTCAAAATGTAGTGACTGAGAACAGAAGTGGGGATAATCGAATATATTTGAATACAAAATAACAGAATGTCGTAGTAAAATCTGAGATCCATACAGGAAACACTTCATTTGCAAAAGGTTAATTAGTCGTCACAAACTTCGTTATTCTTTTATTTCCACACTAATCATTCTCTGTTCTAGTTCTATTTCCTTCAATCTTCTTAACTTTCTGACACCAGGCATTTCATTAGCGATTAATAATACATACTACTTATATCTATCGACATCAGTAGCACGCACTACAAAAGTAATGTAGTTTAAATAATTCAAAAATAAATAGTATTCATCTGTACACTGGAAAACTACACAAATCTACTAAATATTGCACTTACAACTTTTAGCAAAGCTCATAGATATATAAGAATTTTGAGTGTCAGTCACCACTAAAAGTGGTTATGAAGCTTGGTCGGAATATATTTATTGAAATGAAACATGCTACAAAAGGTATTCTACCATTGAAATCTATGATCTAATTAGAAGTAAATATTGCTTCGTGAAATGTCTACATTACAGGGTAACAAAAGACTATACTGAACATGGGTATATGATAAACCAGTACTACCTTTATGGATGTGAAAGCGCAGATCGGAAAAGCAAGAGGAGCATATCTACAACTGAAGAACATCTGGAACTCAAAACAACTCTCAACAAACATCAAGGTTAGGATTTTCAATACAAGTGTCAGGACAGTTCTACTGTATGGAGCAGAAACCTGGAGAACTACGAAAGCCATCATCCAGAAAATCCATGTATTTATTAACACTTGTCTACACAAAACACTTCTGATTCATTGGCCGGACACTATAAATAACAACCTACTGTGGGAAAGAACAAACCAGATTCCAGTGGAGGAAGAAATCAGGAAAAAGTGCTGCAAGTGGATAGGACACACATTTCGGAAAGCACCCAACTGCATCACAAGACAAGCCCTCACATGGATTCCTCAAGACCAAATTAGGAGACGAGGAAGACCAAAGGACACATTACGCCGAGAAATGGAGATAGACATGAGTAAAATGAACAAGAATTGGATGGAATTAGAAAATAAGGCCTAGGCCAAAGTAGGTTGGAGAACGCTGGTCGGCGGCCTATGTTCCATTAGGAGTAACAGGCGTAAGTAACTAAGTAAGTAAGTATTGTTGTAATATATGTGGTTTGATTTGATTGTGAATTTAATGGAACTGGGTTGTTGGTTTTTTTTAAGAAAAAAAGTGAAGTGTTCTTATTGTATCCAAATTTGTTGTAGATGTTCTACTCTTTGTATATTTAGATATCCAGTTATTCCCTCTGAAAAAGAAAGTTTCTTTACAATTTGATTAATTGTTAATTGGCTTCATTCATCTTTAAAAGTCCAACCCCTTAACAATATATTCTAAGGTATATTGTTCGTCGTCAATCTTTTTATTTCATCCTATTATTATGACGAACAATTAAGCCGTAGTATTTAGGTATCGTGAACTAACTGTTAGACGTAGATGTACACACACTTAATCTTCTCTTCCCTTAAACTATGGGACTATAATTGCTTTATACCATTCATTCTACGAACTCATTCTTTCATCATGTACTATATCCTTATATACAATCTTTCGTTTATAATATTACCACCACTGAAGTAACTACTTCTATGTATTTGGTATTCATCATGTTGTGCTATTGAGGTATGGCAACTTGAACCGATGTATGTATGTGCCTGATCTTACGTTGTAACTGACTGACGGATTGAAGTACCTTATTAAATCACTGAGAATTCAAATAAGTTGAAATAAACTAAAACAAACAATATCCATAAGCGAATGTTTTTATTTATTCAAAAATATGTAAACTAATTCTTGAGTTATTCAACATTTTGGTATGAGTATAAAGAAACTTCTTCAGAATAATTGATTCTTAAAGATTGGATTTCATTCTGTGTTCAGTAGTTACTCTCTAAACAATAATTGTGATTACATTTTACTCCTACAGGAGGTCAGTCGGGGCTCGGACAGCTCAGTGGTAACGTCTCTGACTGTGAAGCTGGGTGACACGAGTTCGAGACCGCCAGGGAGCACCAATTCCTTCAAGATTACACGTACGCCTTGCTGACGAGTGCCAAATAGCACGAAACCCGGGTCCAGGGTTTCCTGTCGACTACCTCCAACCACCATCTAATAATTGTAGTTTAAATTCTAATAGTCTATTGTCTTGTAGCTTTGAATCAATACACTAATCAATAATATACTTACTTTACCAGTAAAAGGATAATCTTCTTGAGATTCTACACCATACTCTTTTATATAATCAAAAGCTACTGATACTGGATTCTCTACACATTCATGATCTCCAGTACAATCTACCAATTGTTGTGATGATAATGGAGTAAGAATTCCTGTTTTTCTTTTAAGTTGCCCTTCAAGCGCTTCAACTGAGGCAATTGCCCATGAAGATGCACAATCCTCCTATAGAAAAAAGTAATCACAGTATATTTGAGTTAAATCTATTGAAAGAAGACATTCTGATGATATCTTATTAATCATAGATATCCTGGCAAATAAATACGTGAACTTATTTACTGAAGTTGTTAGTTGTAAATGATCTTCAATTTCCTCTACTGCTGAAAACACCTGACCTCTACTAATCGATGGGAATTTCGATTGGTAATCTGAATTAAAAAGAATACTTTCTGCATACTATTTTGGAAAATTATTTAGGGTAGATGCTCACTACTGAGGAGTCCCATACTGAAATTAAATGACTGTCAAGTACTTCCAGGTTTTCAATGGTGGTCTAACATTCATTTGTTCATGATCTCAATAAAAACTCGACAATCTCTACAACTTTATACTGATAATTATTTTGTTGACAGCATGAACATCCATCATAAAGATTGATAGGGAGATTATAATGGAGAAGAAAAGGCTTAGCGTGATAAGATAAAGTGTTGAAATGAAGATGAATTGTGGTCAGGAGGATCACGGGAACAGAAAGAAAGCTGTTGAGCATAAATGGTTCATACAGAAGACAGAACGGAAATAGACAGCTGTGAAAGAAGAAGAGAATAAAGGAGGGAGAAAAATATTACGAGAGTATAAAGCCATGGTCGAAGAAGAGGTTGTACCAGTTTCTTTTGGACATATAATCTTGGTTTTTCCAGAAGTATAGTTATTGCTTTGGCAGTGTTAACAAGATGGAATATAACCGTGTTTGGCGGCTTTCTACTTGCCTTGTAGATGACTTTGAACACAGAGCTCTCTCTAAATGAATGACCTGTGTTCACAAGTTTTTCGTTTATTGAACTTATTATTGAGCTATTTACACCTCTTTCTAACCAAACTGAGTAGCGTTCTCGAACTCTTTTTGATAAAATAAGCATCAAATGATTGATATACCTGGGTCCACATGAGCACATAAATTGATAAACACAGAGGGAATTGATCAAACGAGATCATTTATCTTTAAAATTATTGGTGATCTTTGATCGACTGTCGAACAGCATTCGCAAGGTTGCTAAGAATGTTCTATTTGAGAGAGTCTGAAATTTTCCACTTCAAAGCGTCTGTAACTATGTCACCTTTGAAATCAATGTTCACATAAGTGCCTTCTTTTCCACTGAGGTTATCTGTGCTTAAGGAGGTCTGAGTTTTGTATTTTTATTAGTCGTGTTTACTGATCATTTCGACATCGAGGAAGTGAATACTTTGTTTTCCTTCACCTTCTAGTTTGAAATTGACTGTCGGGTCAGTCAGTCACTGAGTAACAACGTAGAACTTCGTACGTACGTACGTCAGTTTAGGTTGCCATATCACAGTAGCACAGCGACACAATTGTCGATTCAAATCTCACAGTGGTAGAAATAGTAAAAGTATAAGCAGTCATCGGAAAGATTAGCATTTGAAGATGGTAATCAAGGAGTATAATCTAGTGAAATAAATTTGGAAAGAGAAAAAAGTAAGGGACATGAATAATTCAGAATATTAGAATTTGGGAGGACACAATGAGTGGATGCATCTGCGTCATTGCAAACGATTTTAAGCCATGTCATTCAAGGTCTCTAACCATCAGTTACTATCATCTCACAGATCCCAACCACGTAATCTACACCTACCAATATGGCTCACATAGTCCACTTATCAGTGATTTCATGGATTGGTGCCATGTTTTGGACTGGCTGCCTCTAGATTACTTCCAACCTACTCCTACACCATAAAACATCACACATCGGGGTAGTCAGTGGTTAATGTTTTAGAAAATGATCTAAATTATGTTTATGGTAACAAATTACAAAAAACATCATGAATATACCTTTTAAACAAGTGAAAGTTGTGAATAGACGTTTTTAAGTTGACAGTTTTACAGATTGACTATGAAACAATTTGCTAGTAATGAATTAAGAAGAGATTCCATTACTCTGCCATGTTTTTGCCTATGAATTACATTGTTGAATGTAAATTGTAAATTACAAATATATGTTAATAGTAATACCTTCAGATAAGATTCCGGTAGTTCGATATAAATCTCATTATTATTTATATATTTGTAGATGAAATTGATGTTCTCTGTAAGTGAGAAATTACCGAGTAGTGAATCAATATCAAATGAAAGAACAGACTTTGTCAATTACATTCACTTGTTCAAATGTGTCATGTAGAGAATGGATACAAATACTTTTTATTGTAAGTCCTGGAAGATCTTCCAGCCACTTTGATAGAAGACCGTTATCTGTTACTTTTGTGTTAATATACTGGCTAAAACTATTGAGAAATGAAAAATGAACCCTCTCTTCCCTAACTATAATCTTCTTATCTATCTTCATTATGAATATTCAAGTTCTTAACAACAAAATTATTGTTGATTCTTTCGATCAAAATAACGTTTTTATAAGATGATAGTTGAAGGTAGTCAATAAGAAACCCTGGACCCAGATTTCGTGCTATTTGGTATTCGTCAGCAAGGTGTACCTGTGGTGGAGTTTTGTTCTCTGAACAAAACTCATCCACCTGAGCTACAAATCTTCTCCACCATCTCAAGGTGTACCTGTAATCTTGTGGGGAATTGATGCTCCTTAACAGATTTAATCCCGTGTCACCCAGCTTCATAGTGAGAGACATTACCACTAAGGTATTCGGGCCTTTTGTTTATTCTGCCTCATTGTTATCATCTCTAGCAGGATTCTATTATCACTATTATTGTCATTTTGAAAAATAAATAATATATGCATGCGACTGTACAGCATTGAAAATGAATTCGTTGAAAAGAGAACTTTTCTCTGAACTCATCTTTCTTATTTTATGAATTTGATTAATTTGTAAGAATTACCGAAAACATAATATTTCGTGCAAGATATTGATTTGAAATGACAGAGCACTGAACACAAAAGAAAAAAAACGTTAAGCAACAATGAAGCAGTTTTGAAGAGGAGTATTTCTAAAGAGTATTGTTGGTCAGTCATTCAGTCAGTCGGCTATAATGTAGGATCACGTACATATATGGATCGATCAAAGTTGCCATACCTCATTAGCACAACAAGATGAACACCAAATTCATTAAAGTAGTTAATTCAATGGTAGCAATATAAAAAAGAAAGTATGTGTATATGGATATAATACATAAAGAAAGAACTAGTTCGCACAAAGAAAGATATGAAGTGATTTTAATCTCATAGTTTAAAGGAAAACAAAGACTGTAGGCACCTACGCCATTGTAATGGATTCTGAGCCATATCACACAGAGTTTCCAACCATTGGTTATGATAGTCATACGGACCACAATCAAGTATTCTGAATCTACCAACATGGCTCAGACTAGAAGTTAGTAATTTTAAGGACTGATGCCAAGTTTTAGTTTGGCAGCCCTTAAATTTCTTCCAACCGTCTCCAACACTAGTCAGCATTGCACGTCGTGGTAATCGGTGTTCATGCATACATAAGAACACGTGGCTCAACCATCTCATCCGATGAAGATTCACAACATTATCAACTGGTTTACCATCATCATTCCATGATACTCTAGCGTCTATCCTCACTATTACTTACTCGATGATCTCAGCAGGCACAAACAATATTTTGCATTACAAAAAAAAATGGAGCTGAAACAAATAAATGATGACAAACGACAAAAAGAAATGAAAACTTTGGATCTAATGATCTTAGCGTTAACATTGTTTTTACTGAGTTATTTTTCTACAGAACCAAACAACATATGACGTCAAGAAATGAAGACGGACATGAGAATAATGAACAGAAATTGGATCAAACTAGAAAGGAAACACTTAGGACAGAATGGATTCGAGAATGCTGGCTCATACAGCCTATCCTCCATTGGAAATAACTCACTGTAAGTCACTAAGTCAGTTTTTTCATCTTAGTTTATTCAGTACAAATCAAACTTGTAAAAAAAACAACAACAAAAGAATGATAGGGGCCCAATGATGAGAATGTGATCTAAACTAACTTGTGTTTTTACTGGTGTCACAGTATCATTATCCCTCCAATCAATCATATCTGGTAAATCATTATGATTATTATTTGTTTGATTGAAACTTCTATATTTCTCCTTCACTAATAATAATAATCGATTTTTTTGATGATGTAATAAGTTCAATTTCTTTTTTTTATTTTCATAAAAATCATTCCAATTTATAGCGGTATATTGATTTATTGATTTACGATAAGTTTTTAATTGTAAATCATAATATAAATTATGTAATAAGATTTGATCAATATTGATTTTCCATAATGTAAAAGAATTGATTTCATCAATTTGATTTCTATAATATTGATAATAACGTAATTTCCATATTGTCCATAATAGGTGATAATCTATACTGTCATTATTATTATTATTATTATTATTATTATTATTATTATTGTTATGCAATGACTGATTATGTAATTCACAATTGAAAGATAAGAAGAAGAAGAAGAATGAGATAATCCGTAAGCTTATCATCATTATCAGGAATGGAATTTGAACATTTATACATATGTATATATATATCTATGTAAGTAATCTCATAGAAACCAAAGTTCTATTTAACTAAAGCACTTTAAAACCTGCTAATATAGATAGAATTTCAACTTTGAGCATATCAATAGTAATGATCTTATTCCGTATAAATAATGTTGTACTCTAGACTATTTTTATTTAAACATATAAATATTGGTATGAGAAGGCACTAAATAGATATGTACGGCTCAAGTCTTTTGATTTGTATATGAGCTGTGATACTGCCAGGGTGTTCAAACCGAAGCAGGTGGTTTGCTTAAGGGGCAACACTCGGTGGTGGAACAAACTCAAGAGATGCAATCCTATGGTAGCTGGTGACTAACGATTGATTGATACTCTATTTTTTTCCCCAGGGTCCTGGAATTCATGTACACCGTTGGTTTGGAATCAGGGTTTGCAACTCCCCTAAGTGGACTCTCCGTGTCCATCAACCCAGTAGAAACGTCGAACACTTACTTTTCGTCCTATCCATTTCGTAAACAACAGTAGTGCTGCGAGAAGGCGATGAGTAGGAATTCGTTAGCTGTGGTTGTATGTACGTGGTGATGTAAGAGTATTTTGAGAGGAAGAGTTGACTCTCTCCACTATTGGCTGTACCAGCCAATAGTGTTAATGTCTAACCTAAACCAATCCACGAATTTACACGACCATCCTCCTTTGTACTGAGATAAATACCTGTCTCTACCCGACACGGATTACCACCAGTGGTCAAGCCTACTCACTAGAACAACGAGAATTCCCTCACAAATCTCGAATCATGGGATCGTGGATGTGCACTGCTGAAGAGTCCCACAATGGGACGAAACAGCCATCCAGTGATTCCAGGTTTTCAATGGTGGTTTAACACCAGTCAGTTCATGATCTCAATCAAAAACTTAATAATCTCCACAACCCTATATTGATGGTTTATTTTATTTCAGAACACTTTGTTAGTGAACACCCTTTACTTTATTCGAATTGAAAACCATGATGATTCACTGTAAGGATTATACTAGGTAATGTTTGAATTAAAGTAAAATGCTTAAAACCAGTAAAAATTGTAGTCACAGAATTCCAATGTTTCTCCGTAACTTCATCTTACAATTAACTATAAACATAAGAATAATTGTATTCGTTTATGTTTATCCGCTGAGAATAATCTCTGAACAGTTTAACTGAGAATGTATATTAGCAACAACCAACTGTGGAAAAAAACAAGATCCCAGCGGAGGAAGAAATCATTAAGAAGCGCTGGAAGTGGATAGGACACATATTGATGAAAAGCACCCAGCTGCCTCACAAGGCAAACCCTCACATGGAATCCTCAAGGCCAAATGAGTAGACGAGGAAGACCAAAGAACACATTACACCGGGAAATGGATATAGACATGAGAAAAATGAACAAGAATTGGATGGAATTAGAAAAGAAGGCCTGGGACAGAGTGTGTTATAGAATGCTGGTCGGCGGCCTATGCTCCATTGGGAGTAACAGGCGTAAGTAAGTAAGTAAGTAAAAGTAATATTTTTGCATAAGTGCATGTTATCAACGAACTACCATCAAGGTATACTTAGGTCATTATTATTATTGAATATATACTGAAGTCTGTTAAAAACCTTGAAAATGACAACTAATACTCAAGCAAATGCATAAAGATAGATGACATTTAATATAATGATGAAATGAACGTTAGTATTATTGAATCTATATAACTCAGATTCTAAAGAAGATGATATTTCATGTTTTCAGTGGAGCTAATTCATTCTTCGGATTTGTTTTCCAATACTGAACTAATTATGTAATTAGTGGGTCGAACTTCCCATTACAGGCGAATCTTGAGTAAAGCAATAGATTTTCAAGTGTCTCCTCTACTATGGTGTTATAAAGTGTTATATCCCAGCAAGAATTATGAATGGTAACTGTTTGGATCGATTTATGGACAAATACGACACATATATTTTTAATGTGTAATCGTTAAGTAGCTTAACTATGCATATTCACGTGGCTTTTATTATAAGCTTTATGTTGACCTCTAGACTATTATTATACGATTTACCATTCTTGAGTTATACCCTGTCTAGTAATTGCTATCTCCCACATTCACAGCCATATTCGGCTAATTCTTGTAAAAATGTTGTTTCCTACTTTATGGTACGATGTGGTCTGTTTGGTTTGTATATAACCGCAGTATGTTTTAAACCAACAATTCATATTGCAGAGGCTGAGACTGGTGTTCTGGACTTAACTGTCTGGGCTAGGTGAGAAGCAGAACCAATAAGATCTCTAAACTGCTCACACGTATTTTATACTTTATTGGTCCGATCGATAATTCACTGTTCTCTAATTGGCGGTATCGTTAAGTTATACAATAAACAGGGCACATAGTTCACAAGTTATAAAAAAAGTACGAATATATCCTTTGATCGTATCAATGGAAAACAATCAGTCCAGTAATCAGAAACATTAATACGATACATGCCATTAGATGAGCTCAAGGTACTCGTTGATTGACGTATTGATACACTTCAAACTTATGCTGGTAGTTAGTTGTTAATATTATGTAGAATACTATAAGACTCAATCATTATATAAAAAACAAGGGTAATTGTTTAAAAGTCGTTTTGATGCATGTTAAGTTTGTCTAACATAGTTCCTACTCAAACCCCTTTTACTCTTTTGTATATTGTCTTATACTACTTATTTATATTCAGTAAGCAGTTTTAATCCCAACAATTTTCACACTTATGTTGTAACGCAAGTTGTACTGTAACATTCTGAAATGTTCACATATATCTTTAACGTTTATTGTACTTATCATTGTGTTTTTTATCATAATCACTGTGCTTCAATTACTGTAGCGGTTATCCACAGTTCTGTGCATTTTTTTAAACGCAACAGTTTCCATATTGTTTGCTATTGGTTCGGGTTTCGGTTGTTCGTAAACTGTTACCAAATTTAGACACAGCTATCAGCTGTCCTTTGTACTATCGTATGTTATAATTATTCTTTATGTTACTGTTACAGGAAGCCTTTGTTATTTTCATTCTTGAAGGACGCGTTCAAACGCCTAGACACCTCACAAGTTGAGGTTTGTAACTAAATTTAGTGTATTATTCAATAAAGAACCGCCATTGTAGACAAATCGTTGTTTTGGAAACTTCGATTTTGCGCGTATCTCAATCGGGTGACTTGGACGCTTCGATAGATCTAACAATGCATATATCCTGTAATCCTTTTATACTTCAGCTTAGTACAAGCAGTTGTCAAAACAAACTACTTGGTGCTCCCCTATGTTAACATCCATCATATATAGGCGGCCTGCTTGAATATCTGGGCTACCTGTTTCTGCCATCTGATTATTTCAACAAGTTATCTGTTTTTATTTGTTTTAATTCATAATTATGTCCATTAATCGCATAACCTATTCAGGCGCTTTTATGAAAAGCCTACGACCTTTCGCTGCACAAGTTACGAAAAAGTACTATAAAAGGCATCGTGGTGGTTGGCAATATGCGTTAAAGAAAATGAATATTAATCATATGTCAATTCTCGAGCTACTGAATTCTAACTGCCGATCACTAATCAACAAAGTGGACTATCTGCAATTCCTACTTAGTCAAAATACGTATCGTAATTGTGGTGTCATCACAATTCAAGAATCTTGGTTGAATGATTTACATGATGACTGCCTTGTATCACTATGTGATTTTAAAATTTATCGTCAGGATCGATCGAACAATAAAAAGAGGTGTGGTGGCGGTGTAGCTACGTCTGTAAACATAAACTGGTGTCGATCTTCGTTTGTGTGTTTTAAGTTTTCAAATGACTTTATCGACTGTCTAACTCTAAGATGTCGTCCAAAACATCTGAATAAATACAAATATGTTTATGTTACTAATATCTACGTGACTCCAGATTGCACATCATCTGCACTATCTGTTTTTGCTGATGAATTCACTGAGTTCGCTGTTACTGTCTTCAGTGATTCACTTTCAGTTGTATGTGGTGATTTCAATTCATGTGACTGTAGCTTCCTTACGTCACTAGGTCACCAAAATGTAGTGGATTTTCCTACCCGTTTGGATGCTCATCTAGACTTCGTCTTCATTATTGATGTGGGTATATAGGCGACTTGTAAACGTGCTCCGTTGTCTAGCTCAGATCACTGTATAATTCGTGTTCTACCTAAAGTATTTGGAAAGCATGGGAAGAGTACACTCTTACGTCAAACCAGGAAAGTCAAATATAGGAATTACTCAGAAGAAAATATCCGAAATCTGAAAAACATGTTTCATACGACTAACTGGGAATTATTTACAGATGACTCACTCGAAAACACTACTGATATTATCACTTGTTACCTTAAATTCTGTTTTGATACTTGTTGTCCCATTGAAACCATTTTTGTAAGTTTTGATCGACTTACATCTTCACAACTAAAACGACTACGAATGATGAAAGAAAGCATGTACAAGGAGAAGAACTCTAATGAAGTTCGTAAACTAAATGGTCTGATAAACCTAAAGATTAGACGTCTCAACTGTATGTTTACTCAAAAGCTCTTATCTTGCAAAAACTCTCCAAGTATGTGGAAATTCTTTAAAGAACTTACAGATGACAGACAGATTAGGAGCGATAACCAGCTGAATGTTTGTGACGTAAATAAGTCTTTTGTACGTCAGTCATCTGATGTGATGCTCCCTCTATCCACGGGTTTAAAAAATAGCTGTGTTCCTACTTTCACTGAAACTGATGTACGAGGATGTCTCCAGTCGCTTAATTCATCTCAATGTTTGGGACCTGATGGTATCCCAAACATCCTTTTTAAAAAATGTGCCGACGTTCTGTGTCATCCGTTCACAACTATATTTAACAGATCCTTCTCTTCTAATCTCATACAGAAAATGTGGAGAAAGATGAAGATAATCCCTGTACCCAACAAAGTATCTGGTGATAAGAATGTAAA